CATTACATGTGCATTTTAGATATAACATTTAAGACATAGCCCCTAATACTACTTAATTCATAAATAGAAATGATCCGTAGTTCTTAATCATTAGATAAGAATTTCCCTTTTCCCCACCCAGATTCCTTCCTTATTAAGTCAGATAAAGATGCTGACAATGAACATCTCTTTTAATAGCCCATTACCAAAGTACATATCTAATTCACTTTCATCAAGCTAAAGCAAGCAGGGATAAAGGGCCATTGAACACTGTTCCCATGGTTTACCAAATGTGCACTGTAGCTGTGCACTTTTCATTAGCACTGTAGGAACTTATGGGGGTTTTAATGCACCTAATAATGTCTCAAAAACATTTTCTACACAGCACTTTGATGGTAAAACCGAACAACCCTCAGATGCAACCTCCTCCAACAGTCAACCAGTCTGACTGTTTAAATCTGAAGCACAAGTTAAATGACTGCAAAAGGGAGGAGGAACATGGAAAGAAAGCCTGTCAGGGTAGGAGGGAGAGGCAAAAGAAAAAGAAAGAAAGAGTGTGGGAGGGAGGGGGATGAAGTATAAAGACAGGATACAAATGAAATGCTTGGGGCATTTATGGGCTTTTATAGGAAAAAAAGCAAGGTACAAATTAGGCCACACTCAATTAAGTCTGTAAGACTTGTGCTCAAGGGACTTTCAGCTCTTAGGTTGTTGACAATTCAGCACGCAACATGGTATGGTTTAATGCACTGTCAGTGTCAGGCCTGTCTCCAGAACAAAACAACCTAGGATGCGTCTGAAGAAAATGAGAGTGCACTAACTCTGGTTACCTTCCAAATAATGATTATCGGATTAATACACACAACTATTCACTGTTTTCTGTTGTTGTAGCAAATGTATGTCTTGTGAAGTCAAAGAAGTGTTTAAAGTTCATAAATGAATTATGACTTCATAGACACAATAATTGTTTGTTTCGAACTCCCTTAATACAAGTTTTGTATGTTTAATATTCTTACACCTACAGGTCACCTATAACTTATCTGTTCCTCTCAAACTTAACTAAACTGTCTATCTTTTAGTCACAACCCAAAACATGTGTGTTAATTCAATTTATTCAAGCAGTGGCTTTTTGGCCATCACTTGCAATGCAACTTGTTTTGTACATAATCTCTTGTGTCCTCTGTCCTCGATTGAGAATGAGCAGGTTTTTGGGTTTGTTTCGTTTTTTTTGCTTGTCTGTATCTTTTCATTCCAGCCAGTATTGAGTGAATTGAGAACAGCAGGATGAGTGAGGCTAATGAGTTGCCACAGATGAGCTTTCTACATGAGGCTTCAACTTCCATGCAAACATTAATGACGGGGATCTATTCTCTGAAGGAGAATGCAGACTTGTTGGAGCGCTGGCTCGTTTCCAAAGACAAGGGCTAGCACTGCTTCTGTGCACAGCTGCATCTTGAGTTTTACAAATGATGGAAATTCAGTTAAAAATGATAGCAAAATCTGTGCACTTTTGCACATTATCCTCACTTTTTGCATCTGCGCTTTTTCTGTCTTTCTGTTGCTGTCATTCCTCTTAGTCTATCTCTGTTTTTGTTCAGTGTATCTCACCCTTGCTGCTCCTGAGGCTAGAGCTTGGTAGCAACTGTAGCGTAATGTAATGTGAGCAAGCGGAACCTGTGAGTGCTCGGAAAAGGGCCAAGTAAACATCCTCCCCCTCTCAGCCCTTGCATGACCAATTTCAAAAAGGACATCTATTCCCAATTAATTCAGCTCTACCATAGTGGAGGAGGAATAGAGATAATGAAGGTAAAACCTGACTGTGATGACTGTGGTGGTCTTTGTTCTATTGCAGGAGGTTTCATTTTAAAGACAGCTCATTGCAGTTTAATTTAAGGTCCAACAAACAGAGAAAATATACTTGCTTAAAGTTTGTAAAGTGAGAGTCAGGAGTTGTGGGGTCAACCAGTGGGCGGCAAGTCAATAAATCCAGACAGTTTATTATTTGGCTTTTTGATACTTTGATACTTTACTAAAAAGAAGTAAGCCACAACAAAATAATAGATAATGTATCCTTGGCTATTTTGTTCAGATAATTTATGGGCACTCAAGTTGTGTCATAATCTGAAGCTAACTGCAATAGTGCAAAATTAGAACTGAGAAAACCTGAATATTTACACAAAATTGCCAGAGTTATTTTTGGAAGACAAACTGAAAATGTTCTTCAGCGTTCCAAATATTTCAATCCAAGTAGTCAATGGCTGTGTGAAATGTGTTAGCTCTGGAGTCTACATCAAAATCCCCTTTTTCTGATTTTTTTTTTTTCAAATCTTGAAACTGACATTGAAATTTATACACTAAATGAGTATGAGAATTTAAGGAGCTCTTACCGAACACAGTCCGAGCTGGAACTGATTCCTTATTAATCCAGAATGAGACTTGGGCCAGGATGACAGTCATGATACAGGGAATGTAAGTCTGAATCAAGAAGAAGCCCATTTTCCTTTGCAGGTGAAAATGAACGGTCATAATGACATATTCACCTGGAAGAGTAAATACCGAAAAGATTTGTCAATGCTGAGAATTTATTTGACACGGTTGCCATCTGATAAATACACCAGTCTTTTAATACTGACTGGTGAAAAGTATTGTTCTATTTATGATGAAATTTTTAAAAAGAATGCAAGTTCATGCATGACATAACATTCCACAAACATGTAATGGTAAAGAGTTCACTGATTCACTGAAGTGTCCTTAGCAGGTTTTAGTTTTAACACAGTGACCACTGCACACTCTTTATGACAGGTGATGTTAAACATCTGCTCACCTGTATTGGATTTTAGTCTCTCACTGGAAACTGTCTGACCAATAAGGTCATACTGCAGCAAACTGGATGATTCTTGTGGCACTTCAACAGATGACAGAGGACCTTTCTTCCATGTGTACACAATTTCACTGATGGGGTAAGCATCTAGACAGCATGGATAAAAAAGGAGATTAAAAATGAAAACTTTCAAAAATTCACACACACATACACACATATGTATGGCATTTCAAATGAAGATCTTTGACGATATCTTGTCAGTCATCTGCTCAGTGACAGAGTAATCAGCGATTGAAAGTGACACCATCTGTCGGGTGAGTAAGGCTGAAAGAAAACTAACTCACAACTCCCAAACTTAAGTGGGCAGGCATGGCCGTCCATGGGGAAGTTCATCAGACGCATGGGGCACTCTGCATTTATAGTTAATCTGTAGGAATAGAGAACAGTTTAATTAAGTGTATGATTTATATTTCATACTAGCTTTATAAACACTGCTCTTTCAAGCTGGGTCTGGTGTGGTGCCATTCAGCATTATAGCAAAAAAACAAGTACAGAATATAGGATTATACAATATTTTTGGTAACATAGATGACCTAAAACCTGCAAGACCATTTCACTGTGGTGAACACACAACTTGGCGAAGGACAACCGTGGATAACACATTTCACAAAGGATGTTTTTATTTATTTATTTATTTTTAATGGCAGAGGAAGAATCCCATGTTTGTTGTCTGCTCATAAATAAAACATATTCTTACATATTTTCATAACTTTGTTATTTTTAATAACAACTTAATGTTATTTTCTATTTGTATTTTTTTTTTATTTCATTTATTTGTTTATTTACTTGTAAAACACATTTGATTCTTTGGAATTATTCAAGTTATAAAATTCACAGAACACAACATCTTAATAATATCCTTAGTTGTTAAAACATTTCCAGTGATATTATATTGGTTTTATTGTTAATGCAATAAACGACTTGGGTTATTCAGTTCTACTGACAATGTTGTTATAATATTCTTGTTTACCAGAGTGACAGTTTATACAAGAACTCACAGCTAATAAGCAGCTCAGAGCTTTGAGGAAATTTCTCAGGCTCACAGACGAAGGGGGGAAACTGATCCCAAATGAAATGATTCAAGTTAAACTACTTTTTAAAAAAGGTTTTCAGAAAAAGTTTAGATCTTTTACCCAAAGCTAATAAAAGGACAAAATTCAAGCTGAGACTGTAGAAACTGCATCATTATACACACAAAACTACAGTTAGCTTATCTGTTATCTAAACATCTATTGCCTCTAAAAGTCTTCGGATGTATCTTCTTTTCAGCCAGTGAACCAATAAATGTAGCACTATTTCATATATGTAAAAAAAAAAAAAAACAATAAAAAAACAAGCAAGTTGGTTTGTGTCTGCCATCTTGTCTATAGCCCCCCACCCCACCCTCTTAAAATCTGTAATGTAGATATAAAGGTGGCATCCCTTTATTGTAATATAGTTTACAAATTTTCTTAGATAAAGCCTTTTTATTTACTTTTAAATGTTTTAGAGTTCATCCACTTAGATAATCTAATTAAAAACAAAAAAATCTGTTTTTGTGCCATTATTGACTCTAGGGGCTTTTTTTTCATTCCACATATCTCCTTTTGGAACAAAGCTGGAGTCATGTTTGTTTGAATCACTTTCCAGGGCTGTTTTCAGTATCAGATGGCACATATCTTGTTTTTGGAATGGCACGCTGTTTCTTTTCATGTCTGTGCATATTCTTGGATGCCTGTTCATCTAATTTGTTTTCCAGGTCTGTGCTCTATTCCGGTCTTGGCTAGGTTTGTATCTCACTGTCCAGCACTGTTACCTCATGGTGTAGAGGATAGTTCCGTTCTGCATGATGCGGAACAGCTTGTTGGGGGTGGTCATGTTGTGAGAGATCGACCTCTTGCCATTGCGGAAAAATGTGTCCGGTGTCCAGATCTTGCTGACCATCAAGTTGTTGAGCCGCAGGATCTCAATGGGGCCCTCAAATTTTAGTCGTTCGTCAATCCACGTCTGACGAAAGAACACATCCATGGTGTATTCCTGGATGGAGGTGAGAGCGTGGGTTACGAATGTATTTACTACTACTATGACCACTCCCACTGCTGGTGCTGCATCTACTATCTCCTGCCATTATTATCTGCTTCCCCCGGAGATAATGGCAGATGGGTTTGTGAGCCATGGTTTCGAAGGAACCTGCTGGATAGAGTATTGGCAATGTGATGAATTGTT